TTTTTTTAGACATAATGCTATTGCACACTTAATAGACTACAGTATAGTGTAAACATAACTTTTATATGCACTGGGAAACCAAAAAATTTGTGTGACTTGCTTTATTGTGATATTCGCTTTATTGCGGTGGTCTGGAACCGAACCCGCAATATCTCTGAGGTATGCCTGTACTTATCTATAGTTTATCTGTTGGCTATCTATGTTTATTATGGGGTTTATCCATTTCAGATCAGATACTGTGACTTACCTGTATCTAGAGCATGGGTATAAAGTTTTATAGCATTTACCCAGGGGGTATTGTTTATGATGTTTGTATGTATAATCTCCATGTTTCATTTCCTTGTGATAAGTTAATGTAAATAAATTTGTATATAGTTAAGTCCCCTGACTGTCCTGGCCTGGTTCTGTAGGGGTGGAGGGAAACTGAGCGGTCTGCAGTTCCCCCACAGCACACCTGCCCACAGCTAACAATTCCCTTCAATTGGAGAAGGGGAGTATATACCCGAGTATACCTGGGCTACACAGCATTAATGCAACCATAGGTTTGAGAATTCCATCACAAATTTCCACACACACAGCATTGATTTACCCTAATTATGACAACATATTATTTTCTATTTATTATTTCCCATTTTTAAATGTATATTTAACACATTAATATTAATGATATCAACTGCTAAATTTCTAAGAAGCCACCTGTGGCTTTGCATTTTGTAGCAGGAACAGTATTCTGGAGTCAGCCTTCATAGTTTCATAGTTTGTAGGGTCGGAAGGGACCTGAGCAGATCATCAATTCCGACCCTCTGCCATGGCAGGAAAGAGTACTGGGGTCAAACAACTCCGGCGGGGTCACTGTCCAACATCATGAAGACCTGCTTTTTAGTCCTCACCTGCCACACATTTGATGTTACTAGGATTAGGTCCTCATGTCTGTCAGAGGTCAATTTTAAGTGCCTCCCTTCCACTCTGTATTATTGGGCTGCTCCTACAAATTCTTAGTCCTCATGAAACTCACTCCATGCACCTTCCAGTCTCCCCGAGCTCCATCCCTGAGCCCCACCAGCAGCCTCTCAGAGCTGTCTCACGTGTTCAGGCCAACAGTCTAGTTTCATCAGGCTCCCTGCCTACTAGGCCAACAACTCATACCATACCGATAGGCTCCTCATGGGGTGCCTGCCCACCATACTGATAGCTTCCTCATGGGCCCCCTTAGTTTCACCTGTCCCCACTATGGCTTCCACATGCCCCCCACAGCTGTTCCATACCGTGCAAGCTTTAACAGTTTAACCCAGGGGTGACCAAGGTACAGTGCACAGAACCATGTCATCTAGCCCACAGGGCTTCCCACAGGTTCAGAACTTTGGCAGCAGGGCAACTGATGGCAGTGTTCATTGCTGTTGTTGCTATTCTTCCTGCTGACCAGATTTCCAGATCTGTAGGGAGCTCTGCAGGCCAGATCTGTAGCACAGAGATGATCATCTGTCCTGTGGAGCTGGGAATTCAATGGCAGGAAGAGCAGTGGCTATCATGGCTCCTGGAACCACAGTAATTAATAATGCCTTCACTAAATTCCAGCTCCACAGCCCAGATAATACAGCCTTGTGCTCTGCATCCAGAGCACAGGATCAGTCCATGGTCTAGATCTGGTCCATTTTTCTAGCCCAACATGGCTTTACCTAACTCTGGCTCTCTCCTGGACCTATCACAGATAGCAGTCCATGGTTTCTTCTCCTGCAACTCTATCACCAAGAAGCTCCACTCCCTTGCACTGCCACCACTTGACTGCCAGGTACCTTCAGGAGATAGGCTTACATAGCCCCAGGGCTATCCCTTCTAGATGAAGCAGCCATTCCATAAAGGCACCGCTCCCTGTTTTTCCTTTCATTCTAATGATGGGGTTAATCAGTTGATTGTTGGCCTAAATGGTAGAAAAGAGGAAAACAAAAATGAGGCAGTTATCTTCCCAGTTGCTAATATTTTTCACTCCTAATTCATGTGCAGGCAAACTTTTATGGGCACACATGGAAAAATTCTTAGGCCCAGGCACTATCAAACGTTAGTGCTGCAATTCTAAAATACTGAAAACTAGCTTGTGACTTGGATTACATACCTGCATGGGGCATGACAAATTGCCCTTGCATTGGCTGCCCAGGTCATGAGGCCAGATGCATCGGCAAACCTATCTCACCTCGCAGCAGGTGGACAGAGAAGACCCGTGGTGAAGAAAGACAGGTAATCAGCAGTCCTCCATTCCTGCAATGCATCCATAAGCAGGTTCAAACTTTTGTGAGGGATGTTGCAATTTGCTGTGTATATTAGTCTGACAGCCAACTACTACTTGCAACCTATGAAACAAGGAGGAGGGATTTGTGGCTCACTGTTCTGTTTGTTACACACAATGCACAGTTTATGTACCACTACTTCCTCAGGAATGAGCCTCAAGTCACAATCCTGACCACATACTGTGCAATTTAACTGCATTAAGGTTGAGTTACAAACCCTAAGTAGTTCAACGCCCAGGCTCTGAAGTGTGAGTTTGCCGGCAGCTGTTCAATATTTACATTTATCATCACTCTGAGACACCACATAGGGCTGGGGTATGTTAGCCAAATATCTCATTTATCACACACATTCCTCGTATCCTGGGGCCCAAATATATTTTCAGATTCAACAGTGTAACATTCACATTTACAGCACAGCGATTCCAGATAAACAGGATGATGCCTTTTTTCTGATCAAAGCCTTACTCGCTGCATGTGCCTGCCTAATTCACTGCTCAGCATCCATCCTACATATTAGTATAGCAGAGATCCTATGATGGAAAAAGTAGTATGCGATTATGTAATGAATGGTATACCATAACTCCTCTCATTTCAGTAATGAGAGGAGTTTGTATAAGAGGATGGGGGGGCACAGGAGCCTCGGGTTTGGCGTTTGTGTAGTAATGAGTTTTTTTATGTAAAATTTCCTAATTGTTGTGGTTTACAATAAAAACAGGAAGTCTAAGAAATGTTGAACACACTGGATAGTGACAAAATGCCACCATTCATTGTCTACTTAGGCAATGTCTCAAGGCACCACCTTGAGGCTGGTGAAAAGTAATGTGTAAGCCAAGAAACAATATAGATATTATTTAAATCTAACATTAAGTACGTGATATGTAGGTACAGATGTGTCTCCTGGCTGCTGCCCTAGTATATAAGCCTATCAGGATTGTGGATATATCTATTGTCACAACACACCTTGGAAATAAGAATATGGTCTTATTCACATTTTCAAGATGACAAACTGAGGTACAGGGATATGATTTACTAAAGGTCACAGAGGAAATCTTTTGGGAAGCAAAGAATTGAACTCTGGTCTCCCAAGACAACTCTGTTCTCTAGTGTTCTAGTCACGGGATCATCATTCCTTGCTTATTTCAACTCCAATTATTGCTGTGGAACCCAATTATTTTACTTGGAAAACTTCACATGTGAAATCAGGGTTAAAAGCAGTTTAAAAATCAATCAAGCTAGTGCCAGTTCTTTTGTGCCTTCATACCCTATCCCCTTATAGCTAGGAATGGAGAGAAGTAAGAACATACAATGGATTTGGAAAACCAAACAAACAAACCATGTAGTAAGAAGGAAACTGAAAAGCTACTGGTCTAGGGCTCAGCTCTTCACCCATCAGTCTCTGTGCATGCAGCAGAGAAGCAGATGGCATGCTATCCCTTTCAGAGACAGAGTGGGTGCTCACAATGCAAACGCCAGCCAATTCTGAAAATGAGATGAATCACTTTAGCCAGAAAAGGACTCAGTAAATGCCAGATAATCATGATAATGTAGCTATTATGGAAATAAAATCACCTATAGCAAAAGAAATTGCTTTGATAGATGTTTAGACATTTGGGACTCCTTTCTATGGATACTGCAATTAGGAACCTGCCTGAGCAAGCTGAATCCTTGATAAGCTTTACACCGCTAAAGATGTATGATTAGGTTTAAGCCCACAAACTAAATTCAAGAGACTTTTCAAAATCCCTTTCTGCTCTCTTGCAGCTAATACACTTGCTCCACTAATCTGGTTGCTGTAATAAACAGATAACATATTGCCCCTGCTGTGTGATCCTTTTGGGAGGGATGTGTTTTGATTTTCCCACCTTTCTATATCTTATTTTATTTCTTAGTTAGCTCTTTGGCAAAATCTGACCTTGCATTTCTCAAACCATTAAACACTGATAATGTATTGCTGCTATCTGTTTTCACTTTCTTCAACTCATCCAGTTGCTCATAGGGATGCGATTAGAGGAAAAATGCTGAGAGCACTATGTATCTGCTGCAGAGTTGCCAGGAGCTTCTTCTCAGGGGATTAGCACAGCTTCACATGACCTCCAGCACAGGACCGTGAGTAGACATTACAGTGGAGGCATAATTAATACATTAAATCCTCTCTTCTATTTACTGGAGGGAACAGTAGTTTGATGAAGAAAGGGTGTTAAAGCTGACACTCCCTGTTTATATTGGCATAATCTGAGACTAATTTCCTGGCTTTTCTATATTGTCACACCTGTTGCTGACCTGCATTGCTAGAAAGATACACTGCCAAGGATAAAAGCTTCACAAATAGCATAAGTCAAGCTGTGATCAAGTGGGCTGAATTCTTTGGGTTCTTGTGGGGAACACTTTGGGAGGCTCAGTGTAAGCACGCTTTGATGTAAATAGTTTCATAAGGAGAACATTTAAGCTAAAGACAGACATTCAAAAAATCTGAGCCTGAATTGATTCACTCTTCGCAGGTTAGTCCAACTTGGCTAGGCTGAACCAGTTTGTAACCACACAAACATCACCTCTGGACTGAGGAAATGTTGGCACATGCCTGCAGTGGCTCAGGCTTGAAGCTGGGCGGGGTGAGGTAGACCAGCCCTCCCTTCCCTTCCACAGTTCTGAGCTGAGGGTGGGGGGATTTGGCCAGGCCCTGCCAGGATGCTCTGATTAGGGAAGGCCCCACGTCCCTGACTAGCAAGGAAGCCAGCAGGGAGTCAATAAGCATTGAGTTAGAAAGCAGGGAGTTGTTAGCATTTATCAGACCATCAAAGAAAACAAAAGCCTCTCTCACTAGCTCAAGCTCTTCTTCAACAACTTTTTTCCAAGGAAGGAATAGAGGGATATTATCAGTTACCTGTTGATTAGCTCCTAAAAGCCCTAAGCTGACACTGTCCTGTCTGCCTTTGTTCTGTCTCCCACAGCATGTGGTCTGCTAGCTAATGTTGAGAGGTGTCTGTGTAAGACAGAGGGG